GTTATCTTTAACTTGGATGTTATAAGTTGCCCTGTAAATACAGCTGGATAAAACAAACTGTGTCTTCATTTCAGGCTGCAAAGCAACAAAATGTTATTTTAAAGGGAGTGATTCTTTGCTGTACCTACTGTAAGTGGTCCATTGAGTCTACAGTCTGCCCCATTTTTTTTAACTTGGTTTTTGTTCTTGTGTGGGTTTTTTTTTAATGTGTCGGAGTATAGGTCTTTGCTTGTCCCAAGCTTGTTTGAATCCACTTACTGTTGACTGAATTACTACCTGTGCTGGAAGTCTTTTGCAAACATCAACTACTCTTTAGGTAAACTGCTTTCCAAGATTAGTTTTTTATGTTTCCTCCTGCTAGTTTGAGGTCATGTCCCCATGTTGTTGATCTTGGCTTCATATTTAAAATCCTGCCCTCCTGAACCTTATTCACCCTTTCTGATGTATTTATAGGTTTCAGCCATATCTCCCCTTTACTTTCTTCCAGAATGTACATGAAGTTCCTGGTGTCTCTCCTGATATGTTTTATTCCTTAGACCTTTCACTACTTTTGTAGCCTATCTCTGAACTTGTTCTATCTTATCAATATCTTTTTGTGATTGAGGTCTCTTCATTTCCTTTTCTGGAGAATGAGATAGGGCCAAAAAAAAAGTAAAATCCAGTCTTCTCCGAATGACGCTTGGAAACACCATTCATTCACAGAAAGCATTATTTAAACCAAATATAATGGGTAAAGGCTATACAGCTATGCTCTTTGTCATTTGTATAGTCAATAAAACTTGCATAGTAACACAACCTTCATTTACTTTAAAGGTGAAACTATAGCCCAGCTGACCGATATGAGCATTGGTGAACGTCCTGATCCAGATGGTCGCGTTACCATTTTCACTGATAAAACTGGAGTGGTAAAAGCTGCTAGACTTCTCCTTTCTTCAGTTACGAAGGTGCTGGTGTTGGCAGACAGAATTGTCGTTAAACAAATTATCACCTCTAGAAACAAGGTACTTCTTTCTTTTACAAATGGATTTAAAGCCATTAACAATAAACTGAAGTGTTTCTGCAGCTTTATCGGTGACATCAGATTATATTTTCTTTGGATAAACAGTTTTTGCTGGCGTATACCATATCTTGAGCAGCTAACATCGTAAATTTTTTTTGCTTTTTTCATGGTCTGGTTTGTGTAATCTCTTGCTTTTTTTATTACTATCTTGGACTGGTGTGGGGGGGCAGCTGGTGTGCTCGCCTTGGGTGCAACATTTAGAAGGGCGCAGGATGATAGAGAGCAGGCTCACACAGTTATATTTAAATGTGAAAAAGACCACAGTAACAGCGCTCTCAAATTACAACCAAAATAAAGTAAATAAATAACTGAAAAACCCACAACCACTAATTAAAGTTAAATTGTGACACAAAATTATATAGTGAAAATCAAATAACTGATCCTACATAGTCCACCAAATAAAGTCCATATACGTATTATATGATCTTCCTTCAATGAAGATATGGAATCTTTCTTTTACAGAACTCAATCCTCCACCAAGGTGAATACTCCAGTGCTCAACACCCCATCAAAGTGCAAACTCACCAGATACTGGTGAAAAACCAGCATATCTTTGTATATCAATGGATGTGAGATGAAACAGCAGCATATCATTACTAATCATTCATCAGATGGTCCCAGTAATCTTCATCATATTGAGCATGAGCAACATGTGAACAAATAGAAAACACTCTCCATAGCGTAATAACGTTTCAGAAATTGTATTCCAACAAATTCCCCCATAAAAACCGCACTCACATTTAGTAAGCAAATATAAAGCCTTTTAAGTTTAAAAACGTTTCGAGCCTGCTGCGCTTAGTACACTGCTTCCAACACACACAGTGGCGTCTCACCAGCCTGCAACAGATAACACGGTTGCGTGATAACGGCACTGCTGGATCAAGCCCTAACGTGTTTCGTCACACGACTTCGAAGGGTGTGATTAGCAGCGGATTAAGCTAGCTCTTATAGAGCCACACATTCTCCCATTGGTTGGCATAGATTTACATAGCACCTTCTGACAATTCACAGTTGAACACAGGATGACCCAAACTACACTGATTGCCTTATTTAGACACATTATCAGAGGGGAGTATAACCTACTCATTAGTGCCATCTTGTGTTCGATTTAACAAATTATTAATATCATACTTTGAATATACAAATAATAATGGCATATATCCATCTTCCTTCTATACATATCAATACAGATACCACATAATCAGAATATTATTATTAATAACTTAAGATGAAACCCAATAAAATACCATAATTAAAATAAATACAAATTAAAATAAATTAAATTAATAATCACTAATAAAACAATTTTAAATCCTATTCAACATTTAAACCATTAGGGGACAGAGCTTCAGTTAAATATATCCATCTATTTTCACACTTCGATAATTCCCTTATTCTATTTGACCCACGCCACATACGTGGAACGGACTCAACTCCCCAAAATTTGATACAAGTGGGATCTCGATAATGATATTTTCTAAAATGCATAGGCACACTATGATGTTTATAGCCTTTCATTGTATTTATCAGATGTTCCAAAATTCTAATTCTCAAATTTTTTTTAGTCCAGCCTATATAAATAAGGCCACATTGACATTCTAAAGCATAAACTACATGGGTAGACTCACAGGTAATTAACTGTAGCTATCTCAAACTCCCTCCCTTTTAGATTTGGATTGGAATTTGGTAAGGCCATTTATTATACAGGATTTATATAGCGCCAACAGTTTGCTCAGCGCTTTACAATATAAAGGGAGACAATACCGCAACAATACAGTTCAATACAAGAGGGTTAGGAGGGTCCTGCTCCTTGGAGCCATTAAATTTATTAGTTACTATATGACAAGCTGAGCATTTTTTGCAAGAATAGAAACCTTTTCTGTCCCAAAATATGCCCACATGTTTCGGTGGATCCAGAATTTTTTTTACTACTTTATCACCTATAGTAGGAGCTTTTCTATATATAAACATAGGTCTATCTGGGAAAAAAAAAAAACATCCAGGTATTGCCCCAGTCTAGCAGAGACTGAGCCAATACCATTTACAATACAGTCCATTCCATAAATATTGGGACATCGACACAAATCTAACATTTTTGGTTCATTTTTGGTCCCTTAACAAGTGGGAGGCACATATGCAAACTGTTGTAATTCCTACACTGTTTACCTGATTTGGATGTAAATACCCTCAAATTAAAGCTGACAGTCTGCAGTTAAATCACATCTTGTTCGTTTCATTTCAAATCCATTGTGGTGGTGTATAGAACCAAAAATGTTAGAATTGTGTCAATGTCCCAATATTTATGGACCTGACTGTAGGTCTAGCAGGTGGATTTAATTTATCCTTGTGAATTTTAGGCAAAGTATAAGTAATCGGGATCCTACTCACACTAGGGGTCAAATAATTATTTTCCTTTTATATTTAATACTCTAGTTCTATAGCCATAATTAGTGTTTTTAATTCTTCTCTGTATCTATTGGTAGGGTCTTTATCTTAACATAAGTATTGGAATCAGATAACATTCCACAATGTGGTTATGGTAAACCAATTTAGTAAGGATCACCACCCCTCCGCCCTTGTCAGCTGGGCGTACAATGATATCCTTACGGTTTTCCAATAATTTGATACCTTCCCTGTATATATTTAGGATTTGCATTTTTTTTTTTGGTTCAACAGACGCCAAATCTCTCAAAACTAGATTTTTAAAAACGTCTATATGTTGATTGGATGAAATATTAGGATTAAACAAAGCCTTATTATTCAAATCACTATTAAGGCTATCTCCCTGAGATTCTATCTTCTGTTGTCTATTGACATTTAAGTCCTAAAAAAATATTTTTTCATATTTAACTTCCTGAAATATTTATGCATGTCATAGCACATTTCAAACCTTTATTCAAAATATTAATTTCTTTATGTGTGAGTTGAACTCCACTGAGATTATAGATACCATCTACTGTTTCCCTTCTCTTTTTGAAATTTGGATCCTTTTTCCTGCTATACATCCCCTCCTTCCTTTTTTTTTAATAAACTCAGGTCTTTGGTCTTGCACCTGAGTCCCTCCTACTGGTCGAGAGGCTCACACAGTTGTCATCCTGTCATCCGGTCTGAGCCCATTCTCTCAATCCTCAATCTCATTCCCTCAATCGTGAGTCACACTGAATAATAGAGAGCGGGCTCAGCTCACACTGGATGATGGAATGACTTGGTGCGGGCTCACGCAGGATGACAGAGAGCGCGGGCTGAACTTTGGACATAGATGACAGAGAGGGGGCTCATCCTCTCCTGGCCAGCCTGTCCCCAGTCTCCTCCGCCCCTGGTACAAAGTTTGGAGTGGTGTAGAGCGACGGGGATGAACAGCCTCCTTCCTCTCAGTTCTGCCTCCGCTCACCTGAGCAGCGTTTATTCAATGAAATCTTAGTCTTCCTGGCCTGTGCTGCCCTCACCCATACCAGACTACCCCATACTCCCCCAGCTAACAGGTAAGAGTGGTCCTGGGGGCTCCAGAGTGTGGGAAAGTGCCGAAGAATGGCTGCAAAGCTCCCCCCTGTGTCCCCCGCTCCCCGGTTGTGTGCTGAGCTCTCATCAGTCTATTTATTAAGTAAACTACAAAGGATACATATATACACTATATTGCCAAAAAGTATTGGGACACCCCTCCCAAATCATTGAATTCCGGAGTTCCAATGGCCTTCATGGCCAGAGGTGTATAAAATCAAGCACCTAGGCATGCAGACTGCTTCTACAAACATTTTGTGAAAGAATGGGTCGCTCTCAGGAGTTCAGTGGATTCAATCATGGTACCGTGATAGGTTTCCACCTGTGCAATAAGTCCAATCCAAGAAATTTCCTTGCTACTAAATATTCCACGGTCAACTGTTAGTGGTATTATAACAAAATGGAAGCAACTGGGAACAGCAACTCGGCCATGAAGCGGTAGGCCACTTAAAATGACAGATCAGGGTCAGCACATGCTGAAGTGTACAGTGCGCAAAAGTTGCCAATTGTCTGTAGCGTCAATAGCTAAAGACCTCTTAGCTTCATGTGGCCTTCAGATTAGCACAAGAGTGCGTAGAGAGCTTCATGGAATGGGTTTCCATGGCCGAGCAACTGCATCAAAGCCTTACATCACCAAGTGCAATGCAGTGCAATGCAAAGCATCAGATGCAGTGGTGTAAAGCAGGGGCATAATTACCACAAGGCAAACAAGGCACTTTTCAGGGGGGCAGCACCTCCCTTCAGAAGAAGGGATGAAAGAAGGGACACGTGTGCCATGGGAACCAGGTGTGATCCAAGAGAGGCTGTAGGCTGCTTGATCGTGTATGTAGAGCCTGACTCCTGTTCACAGGGATGCCTGGAGCTTTGAAGATGAGTGTCTTTCTTTCTATGGCTGGGGGGGTGGTGTTGGTCTGTGTCCGTTGGGGCAGATGATTTTTGTGTGTTGCCTAGGGCAGCACAAAACCTAAATACACCACTGGTGTAAAGCATGCCGCCACTGGACTCTAGAGCAGTGGAGACATGTCCTCTGGAGTGATGAATTGCGCTTCTGTCTGGCAATCTGATGGACATGTCTGGGTTTGGTGGTTGCCAGAATGGTACTTGCCTGACTGCCTTGTGCCAAGTGTAAAGTTTTTGGTGGAGGGGGGGATTATGGTGTGGGGTTGTTTTTCAGGGGTTGGGCTTTGCCCCTTAGTTCCAGTAAAGGGAACTCTTAAGGCGTCAGCATACCAAGACATTTTCATGCTCCCAACTTTGTGGAAACAGTTTTGGGATGGCCTCTTCCTGTTCCAATATAACTTCATACCTAAGTGCACAAAGCAAGTTCCTTAAAGACCTGATGAGTGAGTTTGGGGTGGAGAAATGTGACTGGCCTGCAGAGTCCTGACCTCAACCTGATAGAACACCTTTGGGATGAATTAGAGTGGAGTCTGCGAGCCAGGCCTTCTCGTCAGACATCAGTGCCTGACCTCACATTTGCGCTTCTGAAAAAATAGTCAAACATTCCCATAGACACACTCCTAAACCTTGTGGACAGCCTTCACAGAAGAGTTGAAGCTGTTATAGCTGCAAAGGGTGGACCAACTCAAATTGAACCCTACAGACTAAGACTGGGATGCTGTTAAAGTTCGTGTGTGTAAAAGCAGGCATCCCAATACTATGCAATATCGTGTATGTATGGTTCTTCCTAAAACAAACCATAATGGGTTTAATACTGTACTATTGAAAGGGACTCTGAGTGCTAAAAGTTCACGGGTTAGGGGGTGCTTGCCTTGCCCTGGGCCCTGACAACCCATGCTATGGCACTGCTATCTTATGATATCATATAGCCTTTTGTCATATCTTATGTCAAGCATGTCAAATGCAAATAAAACAATGGACAAAATGAGTGAGTGAATTCCTATGCACTTAGCTGTACAAACGTTTAGGGCAGTGTGTGCCCAGGGACGAATGCCTAGAACACAAAAAGTCTACATTCCGTTTTTCATATAGAAGATGATTTTTTTTCTGTCCTCCTCATCAATGGAGTCTACCTGTGGCCATCAAACGCTCAATGAGCATGCTTCACCTACCCCCCCCCTGCTGTCCTACTCGGTGTGCCAATTTCCCATGCCCATTTCTTGTTTGCAGTGTTACATTCTTCTTATGCTTGGCTACTTTACCCATCCTTCATTGTAATGCAGACTCTGGTGTAACTGAGCACACACAGAATGAACTGAACTAGGTAAACACTCAAGCCTGCACAGACAGTGCATGTAGCTTTCTACTAGCGTGGTTTCTAGTCTGGGTTGCCTTAGGAGCCCTAATACTTAAACAACTTTTCTGGGACAGACCCTACTACAAGCCCTGGCAAAAAAGTATGGAATCGCCACTTTTGGAAAATGTTCATTCAATTGTTTAATTGTGTAGAAAAAAAAAAAACCAATCAGACATGCCGCAAAAAACTATTTTCATTTAACATTCCTACCTTCTGGCTTTAATAAACACTTACAAAAATTTAAAAAAGAATGAAAACTGTAGTCAGTTGCAACTGTTTTTGAAGATCAAGCAGGGGGAAAATATGGAATCACTCAAATTTGAGGAAAATATTATGGTATCACCATGTACTTTTCAGTTGTAAAACAAACATCTGCATCAGATTACATCTGCTAAATTAGTCTGCAGTTACAAAACAGTGCTTGCACACCTTGGTGAGCTGTTGCACCAAGCCGATTGACATGAATCATGGCTCCAACACAGAGAGATGTCAGTTAAAATAAAGGAGAGGGTTATAAAACTTCTTCAAGAAGGTAAGTCCTCACGGAATGCTGCAATTTAAAATCGCACAATTTGTGTGCAATTTCAGGTTTGATTTCAGAACACTTTCTTTTGCTGCTTGTGAAGTTTTTAACAATTTCTTGCAATTTGCAGTGTGATTTTCCATTATATTCTATGTATGTGAAATCACAACAAAACTGCAGAAAAAGTAGAGCAATAACTACTTTAGAAATAGTGCTGCAGCAAATCTCAAATATTCAGATACTGGCATTCACATTCATTAGATGCGATTTCAATTCCCAAATTGCACCAGTATGACCAGGCAGTAAAATCTGGACCAAGTACAAATCTAATGGGAAGGTTGTAAAAGGGAAGCGTACTGGCAAATCAAGGAAAGGAAGACATCAAAGCGTCAAGGTAGAAAACTTTAAAGCAATATGCCTTGAAAACAGAAAATGCACAACAAAACAAATGAACGAATGGGCAGAAACTGGAGTCAATGTCTGTGACCAAATTGGAAGATATCGCCTAAAAGAAATGGTTTTTCCTTTTGGCTTTTCTGTATTTAAAGCCCATCATTAATACCTAAACAGAAAAAAAAGGTTACGGTGGGCTGAAGAAAAGCAATCATGGACCAGATGAAAGTGATATTCAGTAAAGAATTGCGAATCTGCATTGGTCAGGGTGATTATGCTGGAACTTTTTTGTTTTGGTGCTGTTCCAATTAAATGTATAAGACTGCCTGAAGAAAAATGCAAATTTCCACAATCATTGATGATATGGGGTTGCATGTCAGGTAAAGGTACAGGGAAGAAATCATTACATGTTCAATAAATACACAAGTTAATATTGACATTTTGGACACTTTTCTTATTCCATCAATTGAAAGGATGTTTGGTGGTGAGGATGACATTTTTCAGGATAATGCATGTTGCCATAGGGCAAAAGCTGTGAAAACTTTCCTTCAAGAGACATATAATGTCAATGGCATGGCCTGCAAATAGTCCGGACCTCAATCCAGTTGAAAATCTATGGTGGAAATGAAAGAAAATGGTCTATGACAAGGCTCCAACCTGCAAAGCTGATCTGGCAACTACAATAAGAGAAAATTGGAGCTAGATTAAGAATACGGTTTGTTGATAGTTAAATTCATGCCTCAGAGAATTCAAGCTGGTATAAAAGACAGAGGTGGTGGTGCAACAAACTACTAGTAGTGCACTGTAGTGTGTGTGTTTTTTTTTTTTTTTCCATGATTCCCTAAGTTTTCTCAGAATTGAGCGATTCCATTTTTTTTCTTCTGCTTGATCTGCAAAAACAGTTGCAACTGACTACAGTTTTTCTTTTTTTTTTTTTCCTTTAAGTGTCTCTTAAAGCCAGAAGGTTGGAATGTTAAATGAAAATAGTTTTGAGACATGACTTTGATTTAGTTTTTTTTTTTTTTTTTTTTTTTTTTTTTTTCTCTACACAATTAAATAATTGAACATTTTCTAAGAGTTGTGATTCCATACTTTTTGCCAGGGGTTGTATAAGACATGCTGTATGGAGACTGGAAAATTTGTGATAAATTATTCACACTGCTTAATCATTTGCAGCCCAGTATCTGTTTGTGTGAAGAGGCCGTTATTAAGAAGTGAACCATTTCCACTGTTCTAGGAGTGCGCTGACCACTCCTGTAGAGGTTGTGCCAGTGTTTAAGGATCTCCTAGATAAACCTTTTAGCGATTCTTTTGAAAACCTTGTTTTCGATTTCCATGCCCTGTCATGACTGTGTGATGTTAGGTTGTCAAACAATTCGAGAAATGGACTAAACTAATAAAAATGATCCATTTTCTATTCATGTTGATTCCCTTATTTTAGCATGCCAAATGCTTGTCTGTCCCACTGTACTTAGTCTACTGTCTTATTTCCTGAATGAGTCTCCTATCCGTGAACATACAGAGAAATGTTTGGTTAAATATTGGTCTGCGAAACATGGTGGTGAAAGATTTTGCGTATGCCCTTTGAGGGTTGCCAGCTCTTCGGAGCTACTTTGAAAACCCTGGTCAATTATTTTACTGGGTGTAAGAATATTATCAAAATAAAAGAAGCCTAGGCCTTAAACAGGTTAGACTCAGCTTGAGGCCTAGGCTTCTTTTTGTTTGCCAATGTCCCCATTCTACATAGCCCAAATGGCTTTGATCCTGTGTTTTTTAATGTACTCCAAGAAAAGGATTTTATGTGGGGTATAAAATCACCCTACATCCCCTACTAACATTTGAACAAGGTTCCACCTTACACCTATTAATTTTGAACCCTATTGAGACTTTCACCTTAGGGAACTGTCACCATGGCGCAGACCTTCCACCAACCTTTTGCATTAGGTACATTATGTACTTTCATCTATGTTTAATTGGATTTTTGCACTTAAACCTAAATAAACGTATTAAATTGAGGGGGGGTAAAGTAAAAAATGGACTTTGCTCCTGCTGATCTGTGTACACAGAATCTGCACTAAGGACAGTGCCAAAAACAGATTTACTGGCTTCATATTTACTAAAGCCACTACTGTACGTAGGACATTTGCTGGCAGCACATTTTGCCTCATTTTACATTTTGGATAATTTTTCTAGCTAAAATTACAAATGTGTACTGAATCCTATCTAACTGAGCACTGTAAATGTACCCAGGATCTATGAGGTTAGTAAATCTACACCAAAATATTTATAGGCATGTATCTTTGCATTTTCATGCCCCTTAATCCTAATGCCAGGTTCAATTAAAGCAAATTTTTTCTTTCAGGTCCTGTCAACTATGGAGCTTCTTGAAAAAGTGAGCAGCTTTCAAGAGTTTGTTCAGATATTCAGCCAGTTTG